AATTCACTCAGTACTTTCCACTGTGAAGCAGCCTTAACTACAAAGATGTTTTCTCCAGAAGCTGAGATATTATTAGGCAAGATTCTGGAAACAACTGCATGAGGTCTAAGCCTTTAATCAAGATTTCAGTGAGAACAAATGAGCAAAGGGTAAACGCAGAAAGAAAGATTTTGGGAAGAAGAAGAAAGGGGAACATCGAAGAATGTTGGAACATAGGCTCAATTCTTGCAAGAACTTGCCAGTTTGTGTTTAAACAGAGAGTTAATTTGGCGGTGTCTAATGCCATCATTTGCCCCTCTTGTCTTAGAATTTTTCCCAGTCCAAAAAAAAGTGAACCCCTGTAGCTACGTTTGTAGTATATGATAATCAGACCAAGTGCAGACAACTGACAAGAGTTTGGTCAATCAGATTCATTCTCTTTGGAATTTAGTTGGTAGCGCAGAATCTGCAAAATGGTAGAGCCAGAAGGCAGGAGAGGCCACTGTATGACATTATTCTAAATACTCAGGGAAAAAATGATGTGGATGAATGGGGGGGAGATAGTCAAGAGATCATCTGTTCCCATAGGGCTGGATGGAGTGGGTGCCTGGGTTGCTGGTGGTTTTTCAGTAGCTGGTTACTTACTCATGAGGTCTGGTTGATTGTCTTGTTTCTCAATCTGTAATGTTATCCCTGGTTTCTTAAGGTAGAATTCTCTGTGTTACTCTAAGTAGGTTATACATCTTGCAACTCAGTGAGGCTTAATTAAGATAACATTTATGGCAGACAAAGGGTCAGGAATCACTTTCAAATCTCACTTGCTTAAAAGATTCTTTTCTTACTAATGACACATTTTTGTGATCCCTCTAGGATATGCTAATAAATATGTAACTCAAACACCAGGAACCTAAGTATCAAGTACCTGTATAATATGACATTCATAGAAACTGTATTCTGAATTCTCAAAATTTTATAATAAGGATAAACCAGTGAAGTTTACTTAATCCACATGATATTGGATCAAGGGTTCACACTGTTTTATTTTTTATTTTCTTTATTATTATAAAGATGTGGGGTACAATTCAGGGTTAGGTATACAGACATTGATTATGCGGGTACCCTTGTTGCTGAGGCATGTCATTCCCTCCCCTAGCAGTTTACCTCAACTGCCAATCTCATCCCCCCTCCCCTAACAGTTTCCCGTTACTGCCAAACGCTTTCTTAAGTCCCACTTATGAGTGAGAACACATGGTACTCTGTACTTTGTTTCTGTGATAGATCACTGAGTATGATCGACTCCAAATCCATCCAAGTTGCTGAGAAGTTCATATATTTGTCCTTCTTTATGGCTGCATAAAATTCAATCATGTATATGTACCAGATTTTCTTTATCCAGTTCAGCTTCAATGGGCAACTTAATTGGTTCCATGTTTTTGCTATTGTGAATAGAGCTGCAACAAACATATGTGTGCAAGTATCTTTTTTGTAGAATGATTTGAGTTCCTCCGGTATATCACACTGTTTTTAACTAGAAATCTTTCTGTAAAAATGTAATTTTTTTATCTATCCAAAGTTTCTCAATTATAGCATACTCTGAAATTTCTCCCTCTGTTTCATTGGCATACAGATGCTTATCCATCATCATTTTCCAATACTGTTGTCTTCTAGAGTAGGGGAGGGGGGCGCAGATTCTATACTGTGAGTAGGGCATAGATTTCCTTTAAACGTTATGGGTTTTCGCCACCAATCAATCCTGAGAGTGGAGAAGTTAAGAAACTCATGGATTGGGTACTGAGAAAGGAGATATGATCAAAAACATTCTCACTGTAGAATAAAAGTAGCAGGTCATAGGTTAAGAAAAATGACAGTCAGGATTAGCAGGCTGTCACTCTACTAAATTCGCTCAGTGCCTTCCACCGTGAGGCAGTCTCAACTACACAGATATTTTCTCCAGAAGTTGAGATATAATTAGGCAAGATTCTGGAAACTACAAGAGGTCTAAGCCAATGAGAACAAATGGGCAAAGGGTAGATGCAGAGAGAAGGACTTCTACTCCATCTCTAAGAAGTTACCTGCTGAAGCCACATTAAGCCTTTCTAACGCAGTATCACGACCTCTCATTTCTATGCACCTTCTTCTTACTTGTGCCTTACAGAGGTCCCATAAAATGTAATTATTCTATATCTCTTAAGGCTTAGGAGACATGGGCTGCCTACAATGAAAGGATGGAGGTGGAAAATGAGGTCTTATCCTTAGATGACACCTCCAGTGCGAAGAGTGATGACAAGACTTCTTGCTGCCCATTTAGCTGAATGCGAATGGAGAAAACTAAAAATTAATTAATCACAATGTCAGAATGAGCCATCTGCTCAATTTTAAATTCTTGGAAGCTTTCAGTTAGATGAAATTCCCTAGAGCATCTATAAGTTCAGATTAAGAAAGCCAATGCTTTTTTATTTAATTAGCAGATTCCATTTCTCTACTATGGGAGACAAATGTCTGGTACATATAGCAGACTCCAGTAGGAGTATATTACAGTATATGTCACAGTGTATTCACTTTCTAGTGGATTTTTTTTTAAGTCAAGAGTCTCACTCTGTTGCCAAGGTTGGAGTGCAGTGGCAAGCTCACAGCCACTGCAGCCTCAACCTGCTGGGCTCAGGCGATCCTTCCAACTCAGCCTTCCTAGTAGCTGGAACTACAGGCCCAAGCCACCATGCCCAGCTAATTCTCTGACTTATTGTAGAGATGAAGCCTTGCTTGTTACGAAGGCTGGGCTTGAACCCCTTGGCTCAGGCAATCCTCTCGCCTCCGCCTTCTGAAGTGCTGAGATTGCAGGCATGAACCACCGTGCCCAGCTCTAGGGCATATTTTATAAGATGACTATGTGTTGTCTAATTTTATGTGTCAAGTTGACTGGGCTATGAGGAGCCCAAGACATTCGGTCAAACATTATTCTGGGTGTGTGTCTGTGTTTCTGAATGAAATAAACATTTGAATTGAGGAAAGCACATTGCCCTTCCAAATGTGAGTGAGCCTTATCCAATCAATTGGAGATTTGAAGACTTGAACAGAACAAAAAGGGCTGAGTAAGAGGGAACTCTTCCCACCTGATTGCTTGAACCACAATATGGGTCTTATGCTGCCCTAGGACTGAAACTAATACCATTGTCTCTCCAAGTTCTCAGAACTTCAGACTCAGACTAGACCTATACATTGACTTTGCTGGGTCATCAGCTTGTCTACTGTAGATCTAGGGAATCTTCAACCTACATAATAATTTGAGCCATTTCTTAAAGTATCTCTCTCCCTCTCACTCTTTCTCTATATATACAAAGAGTTCTCTCAACTTGCAACGTTTTAACTTGATGATGGTTTTATCAGACATAACCCCATTGTAAGTAGAGAAACATCTACGATGGTTTGGCTTATGATTTTTCAACTTACAGTGTGTTTGTCACTATGTAACCCTATCATAAGGTGAGGGATATATATACACATATATGTGCACATGTGTATGTGTACACATACATACACCTATATATATTTTTGATAAGTACAGACTAGGAGAAGGACTTTGTCAAGAGTCAGAAGCAAAGGCAAGCAAGTTGATGGAGTACAGAAATGAAACTCATAGATGTCGTATGCAGCTAGGCCTGTGTTAGAGCCTGGCTCTGTCACTTAATCTTTCCAAGTCTTAGTTTCTTCACTGTAAAATGGGAAAGATAGCATCTGAATCAAAGGGTGAATATTAAGTGGGATTAATATATGGATTTGCTTGGCATGGCACCTGATTCTTAGCAAGTGCTTGATGAGTGATTAAGATTATTACTTACTCAAACCTGCTAGAAAAGTTCAGCCTTCATCACTGTGTTGTAGGTGAAATCTCATAGTCCTCACCTCCCTCCCTCTCCCACACTCATGAATCTGGTGTCCCAGTAGTCCTAGAAGCTGAGGCACCAGTTGATTCTTCAACAGCATCACCTGTCCAATCTATCTCCATGGATTTTCACACCCACAAGCTATTGGAGGCATGCACTCACCTTATTTCTTTCTGTTTTTTGTTTTCTTCAAAGACAATTCTCAGGATCTTGATTTTAAAATGTTTTTATTACTTGATTCTAAGAACAGTAGATAACACCAAAAACACGAGCGATGGGAAATGACAACTTTTGAGGTGCTTACATTGTTTTCACAATTATGATGTGAGAGCTGAAGATGCCACACAGAGAAAAACAAGATGCTGTTTATAATATACCTAAAGCAATTCCTAGCACATAGCAGATGCTTGATAAATGGTGATTCCCCTACCTAGTCATGACAGCCCTGGTCATGACAGACTTGAGGATGGCACTAATGCCCCAACTCCACAAACATCTCACTCTATGGAGGTCTTATCCTAGAGACAATAAAGGGCGTCATGACCTTTCATTTCTTTCTCAAGCTTCAACTTTCTGCTTGACTCCCTGTCATTCTGTCAATCTGTGTCTCTGTAGGAGCACTTATTAGTTTTCCTCCTTTCTTCCCTCTTTCATCCATCCTTTTGTCCATCATTTTTCTTTATCAATTTATCTCACTATTTTATTGCTTTTTTCTCTTCCTTCTTCATTCTCCTTCTTCCTTTCCCCTTTCTTTCTTTCTCTTCTCTTTTTTGTATTCTTATTCTCCAGTCAGTTATTTTCTCTTATCTTTTTTCATCCCTTTAATTCCAACCTTTCTTTTTTCCTCCCTCCATTTCCCTTTCCCTTTCTCACTCCATGCTTCCTTATTTTATTGTTTTAATTGCTTCCCTTTGTTGTTTTAATCTTTCTCTGACTTATTTTTATTTCCTCATTTTCTTTTACCATCTTCCTTTTTCCCTCTCATTCCCTTCCTCTCTTTCTTCCTTTGACATCGAACATGTCAATGTCTGGGGCTAATAACCAAGAAAAGAAAAAATCACATGCATGCACTTTCAGAAAGAATCTAGTATCCCGACAGGAAGGACAAGAACTCAAATGGAAAGACATGATTTTTAAAAAGAGTCCAAATGAGAGCCTTGTGGACCTATCATTGGGCCTGGGCTTGCCTAGACATTTTCCACTCCTTGTCTCGAAGCTTGGTCCGCTCAATTTTCCCAGTGACAGTCTTGGGCAGGTCCAAGACAAACTCCACCTGTTGGAAAAAAATCAGACCAAGGTGGGTCATCCATGATCATAATGGAGTTGGATTTTTCAGAGGATCTGCTATAGGTTGAGGAAAAATTTTTTTTAATTTTTTTATTTTTTGAGTCAGAGTCTTACTCTGTCACCCAGGCTGGAGTGCAGTGGCACATTCACGGCCACCGCAGCCTTGACCTACTGGGCTTAGGGGATCCTTCTGCCTCAGCCTTTCAAGTAACTGGAACCACAAGCATGTGCCACCACATCTGGCTAATTTTTTGATTTATTGTAGAGATGAGGTGTTGCTCAGGTTGGTCTCGAACTCCTGAGTTCAGATAATCCTCTCGCCTCCACCTCCCAAAGTTCTGGGTTTACAGGCTTGAGCCACCATGCCCAGTGAGGAAAAGTTATTGAGGCTGGAGGATCTTTAGGGATGCTTGCTACGAAATAAGAAGCTTCAGAAAGTGCTCTGGAGTAAGGATCAGAAGAGGTAGCTAGAACTGAGCATAATGTTCTAGTCAACTGGTCTTTGACAAACTCTCAGACAGAGAAAAAGCAGCATAATGAAAATATTAATAACATAGCTTGGTAGTCAGACACCTAAGTCTCAGCATCATGCTCATCTATCAGTTATCTAGCTTTAGATAACTTCTATGCCTTTGCTAAGGCTCAATTTCCCCACTCAGTAAACTGGGAGATAATAACAACCTTATTGGGTTGTTGTGGGGACAAAAAGAGATTATGCAGGCTAAGTTCTTGGTATGGAGTCAGCACACAAAAATCTTAGCTGTGGTTATTAATCTGAAATGGAGAGAGTAGACATCTGAGAGTTAGAATACCCAGTTGTGAATTTTACCTCACTAATGTCCTATTAATGTACCCTGGGAAAAACTACAAAATCTCTTCAATGTCATTATTCTCAATTGTTAAAAGGAATATTTGAAGTTAAGGACTCTTCATCTCTAATATTCCTGAATCCTAAGATATGGATGATGAAGGTCATTCATTGAGGCTTCTAGCTATATGGCTTAGCTTGCTGTGGCACTGGTCTAGGAGTCAGATGGTCTTAGGTTTAATAAAAATAATTACAATAGGGATAGTAACAGGTAAAAGTATCTTCTTGGCAGCTGGTGTGAGATTCTTCCAAAAGGCAAGACTAACTTTGTTGAGAAAAGCATTTGTTTAAGCCCCAGTGGGTTGAAACAGGGATTAGCAAACTATAACCTGTGGGTGAAATACAACACACTTCCTGTTTTTACAAGCAAAATTTTATGGAAACACAGTCACAACCATTCATTTGGGATTAGTTTCTGGATGCTTTAGCAATGCAAGGGTAAAGTGTGAAGTGGTATAATTACAACAAAGACCACGTGGCCTGAAATATTTACAATTTTGCCTCTGAGATTTAGATAGAGTAGAAGGAAGTCAAGGAATGGGGGGAGGTTCTGTTTCAATGCTAAGAAGGATGCTAATCTGCTTGTTATGCAGAAAGGAGCAGAAGAGACTGAGTGTGGTGGGTGGAAAGAGGGAAAAGATAGAAAGAATCTGCTCTCGTGGGAATTCCAGAGGAGTAACTTGTGGAAAGAGACACCTCTACTGAGGTTATTTGAGTAATACACTGTATACAGTGCAATAGGACCCCTCCACTTGATCATCTGAAATATCATGTTAAAAATCAAAAATCAGCCGGGCTCGGTGGCTCAGCCTGTAATCTCGCGCCTTTGGGAGGCTGAGATGAGTGGATTGCCTGAGCCCGTGGGTTCGAGACCCTCTACAATAAATCAAAAAATCAGCCAGGCATGGTAGTGAATGCCTGTAATTCTGGCTACTCAGAAGGCTGAGGCGGAAGAATCGCAGGAGCCCAGCAGGTTGAAGCTGCAGTGGCTGGGAGCGGCCACTGCACTCCAGTCTGGTTGACAGAGTGAGACTCCAACTCAAAAAAAAAAAATCAAAAATCATGTTTGGTATGATTGGATTTCAGGTCTCATTTGAAAATATTTATTAAACCTTTATTATGTGCCAGTCATTCTTCTGAGTGTCGAATGCTTTACAAATATGAACTCATCCTTTACCTGTGACGGGGTAACACCATTATTCCCATTTTACAAAAAAGAAACTGGAGGACAGAGAGGGGATTGAGTAAGGGATGGAAGTAAATTTTGAAACCAACAGCCTGACTCCCAAGACGGTGCTATGCTGCCTCACTGTCAGTTTGAGGCTGAAAGTTCATGCAGTGGTCTCTTTGATACACAGCTGAGACTCCCCTTCAGGAATGTAGTACTTACTCCCCACTGCCAGACCCCTCTGAGGATTGCCTCAGCAGAATGCAGCGATCTTGTCCAGGGCAGCCTGTATACATGCCTGCTCTACACAGGGCTATAAAGACCCCCTTCTTCTTCTTACCCTGCTTCAGGAAAACACTGAAAGGTTGTCCTAGCTTGAGAATTCCCCATGGGCAGACTGAGATTCCCATTGAGACTGAATCACAGTGCAACTTCACCCTCTACCTAATCCTGCTCCTTTCCTTTCCTTTCCCTTTCCCCTTTTCTTCCCCAGACATTGAGTCCAAAACTCGCTGATAAATCTCTTGCATGCTAATATTAAGGGTCTGCTTCTCAAGAACCCCACCTATGACAATGAGCCTGTGCTAAGGAAAAGCCAGAGGAAATTCGGGTTATATAAGAATCTGAGGAGTTCTAAGCTTAACATAGTTACTCCCACCTTCTACCCCAGATTTCAGGTATTATTTTCTTTCCCTGGGACAAGCTCCTATCTGGTATCCAAATCCAACAGCTAGGTTCTCCTGCTATGTCAACCTCCAAGCCTAAGCTCCCAACCCCTGAGTGAAAACAGCTGAAAACAGGTAGAATGGATTCTATGCCTTTTGTCTTTTCTGGTAGGAGCACTTTCATCTTTCCAATTAAGAGTCCCTCCCTCACTTAGTCTACGTCATGGTGCAGAGCAGCCCTCACTCTCCCATCATTTCTGTATTTCTCCAAGAATGATCACAGGACCCTGAACTGGTCAATCAGAGTGTTCTGTTCTTTTGGTTACAGGGACTGGCTTAACAGTGGGCACATGCCCTAAGTTGGTCTGCTGAGAATTAACCAGGAGACATTTGCCTATGTTTTGGGGCAAACTTGATTTATTTTTACTGGAGTTTGCTAAGCTGCTAAGAATGCATATTTGGAAATGATGGGGCCACAAAGAGAATCCATTTCAAGAAATAAAGCCAATATAAAGAAAGGAGACCCAAGCGGTGAAAGAGAGACCCCTGGCCATATGATATAAATGCCTGGGATCACCCATGATGAAAGCTTTACACACATCCGGTCTTTTCAGTTGCATGAACAATACATTTCAAGTTAAATTTTTTGTTACTTGCAACTAAGAATTGCATAACACAGAAAATGTTATAGCAAGATCCCAGTGCAGAGAGTCGTCTAAAGGCCAGGTACTGGCTAGAATTTGTTCCTTTGGGATGAACTGACTTTTAATTCAGAGTGAATCAAAGGGGGAGATCATTTTTTAGACATCAAGATAGTCACTGGATTGTCATTTTGGGCTTTCTTGGGCATAGGAAGAATTTCAGAATTACAACCCTAGACCTCATCCTGAAGAAGAGAAATATGACAGGAGTGCCTTCTCTTCTTTCCCAAATTCAAGGGACATAGGAGCTCAGAGGCCTTACCTTCCTTGGGTACTTGTATGGAGCTGTCACTGACTTCACATGCTGCTGCAGCTCCTTGGTGAGCTTATTCGGGTCATGGGACAGGAACTGTGGGGCCAGAACCACAAACGCCTTCACAACCTGCAGCAAGGATATGAAGGCCAAGAGAGAAGGAATTAGAGAGTGTAGTCATCTCCTGGGATAGTACAAAATCAGTGTTAAGACTTCTACCACAGACATCATCTTTTTTTTTTTTGAGTTGGAGTCTCACTCCGTCACCCAGGCTGGAGTGCAGTGGCCACTCCCGGCCACTACAACCTCAACCTACTATGCTCCAGCGATTCTTCCACCTTAGTGTTCCAAGTAGCTGGAACTACAGGCACGTGCTACCACTCCCGGCTAATTTTTTTTTTTTATTGTAGAGATGAGGTCTCGAAAGTTGCCCAGGCAGTTCTCGAACCCACGGACACAGGCAATCCACTCACCTCAGCCTCCCAAAGTGCTGGGATTACAGGCTGAGCTACCAAGCCCGGCTAGACATCACCATTATAATGATCCGCAATCATACCTTGCAATATCTGGCCCAAGGGAAAGGGAGAAACTGAGGACACAAATGGCTGTGGCTCCAGCTCTCTTTCTCTCTCTGGTTTTATTGGATGAGTAGGTAGACAATAGATTGAGATCAGACTCATCTTACACCCAAGGAACAATAGAGAATAATGAGCAGAAAGTAGATACAGAGAGAGGAGAAGAGAAGAGAGGAAAATAAAGACTGGGAGCCATAACCCTAAATGATTTGTTTAACCTCTACAAACTTCAGCTTACCCACCTGTAAAATGGAGATAAATCATCATGTTTAATTTATGGGAAATAAAATGAAATCATATGGAGCAGAGTTTAGCTTAGAGCTGGGCACATGGGATTTGATCAGTAGAGAAAACCTTTTCGACCTCACTTGTCCAGTGGCTCCAATGGTTTTCTGTGGGATTGTTTCATTGCCAGATTTGCACACTGCAGAAATGTACTAGAACATTAATCCACATCTCTCACCTTCACCTTTCTCTACATGCGCAAGGAGTTCCATCAGATTCCATCTGGGCCTATTCCTATAACTCTGACATTTTAGGGGTCTTTCTTCTTCCACATATTTTCACTGTGAACACCAAGGCTCAGAAGCTCTATCCCTTGGTTCAAAATCCTCCTCTGTTCTCCTAGTCAGGAATCAAATTCTGATTTAAATAGCAAATAGCTGAATGGAATCCCTCCAACCTCAAGATAATAGACTTTATATGGCGCTTGATTCATGTTAGGGCTTATTCCAAGCACTTTAGATGTAGATATTAGTGCATTTAATTATCATAACAATCCTCATCTTGCAGATGGGGAAACTGAGGAACAGGCAGGCTAAAAAGATGACCCAAGGTCACTTAGCTAATAAGTGACTGGGACAGGATTTGGATCCAGGCTGTCCAGTCCCAAAGTCCCTGTGACACTGCCCTTAAGTTCATATCTGTACACCCCCAGGCTTCAACTTCGCCATTACCTCTCCTCGGACAGGGTCTGGACTGCTGATCACAGCTGTCTCGACCACAGCAGGGTGCTCCATCAGTGCATTCTCTACCTCTGAGGGCCCAATTCGGTACCTGCAGAAGAACCTATTCTTCAGAGAGGAATGGACACCCAGACTATAGGCCATCCCCAAACTCTAGAATGAACCAAAACAAAGATCAAGATTACCCTTCCCAGACTAGAAACCAAGCTCACCCACTGGCATTAATGATATCATCTTTCCGCCCCATGAACTGGAAATAACCATCTTCATCCTTGATTCCCTGGTCTCCCAGAAGCCAAAATTCCCCTCGAATGTTGGCTGCTGTCTTTTGGGGATTGTCCTGGTAACCAAAAAAAGAGAGAATCATTGTTCCTGCAAAGCCTAATTTCATTGCCCCATGGCTGTGCAGGTGTGCATTTTAAAACTTGAACAACTGCAAATAGTGGACCTGCACCAAAACCCAGACCCCAGGTTGAACTGGATTTCCTCCCTATATTGCAGTTATTCTACCCAGAGTCTCTCAGTTACTCCCCTGGGTCTGTCTGATGGATAATATTGATGTATTTGTTCATTCATGCTCTAGGGCATCTTCCTCGGCTGATTCCCTGGACAGCCTATCTCCCTGCTCACTCCATGACATCACTTAAGGGTATTAGTTTCATTAGGCATTTTTCTTGTCTTCTTTGGTATATCTGAAAGTTCTGGAGACATACCAGGAAATTCCCAGGGCTCAGATTGCTGTGTATATATTTACAATGGCTGAGCCTCTCTATTCTGCTGAGGTACTTGTTTATGAGTAATGAAAAAGCTTAAGGATTATCCCTTGTCGGTGCATCCTTATACCTTACTCAGGTATAGGGTAGTGGGCTCCAGATAGGATATTCAGTTACTGTGTTAGAAGGTGACATACAGAATTTTTATTATTATTTGAGGCGGGGTCTCACTCTGTCGCCCAGGTCGGTGTGCTGTGGCATGATCATGGCTCACCTTCTGAGTTCAGATAATCCTTCTGCCTCAGCCTCCCAAGTAGCTGGGACTACAGTACAGGTATGTGCCACAATGCCCAGCTAATTTTTTGCTTTATTGTAGAGACTAAGCCTTTCTATGTTGCCTAGGCTGGTCTTCAACAACTGAGGTCAAGCAATCCTCCTGCCTCAGTCACCCAAAGTGCTGGGATTACAGGTGTGAGCCACCACACCCAGCCCAGAATCCTTAACCTAGCTCCTTCATTGGAAATATAGGGATATTGAAGGCCAGAAACATTGAGAAGCTTGTCAGAGGCCCAATAACTATCACAGATGATAGAACTGACATCAGAAACCACATTTCTTGATCACTAGCTGGGCTTTCTCATGGTCACCATGCAGCCTCTGTTGGCTTTAAGTACATCTGTCAACTCCTCTGCATCTGTTTCCTTGTCTATCAAATGGAGAGACACCCATATCTTAGCTATCTTGCTGGCACGTGAGAGTTAAATAGGCTAGCACACTGGAAAGGCTTGGAGGAAGGCATAGTGTGGGTGCCCGGATTCTGAGGCTCAGATTTCCTCTTCTGTATAATGGGAATGACAATTTGAATCTACAGCAATTATTTTATTTAATACACAAATTTAACACATTTAACTCATATATCACTATTGTGTTATAAAACTATCAATGCCTTAACATATCCATAATAATGTTATAAGGTATCATAATATACAATTCAGAGATAAGGAAACTGAGGCATGAGATCAGTAACTTGCCCAACTAAGATCACATAGTACATAGTGGAGCAGGGCCTTGAATTCAAGA